AGCGTGTTCTCACTCACCGCGGGGTTTTCCCTTCGGCCCGGGGCCCTGTCGGCTTCCTGCGCCGGGTGAGCTGCAGCGGCAGAGAGAAAAGGGCGAGCTCGGGGCAGGAGAGGCGACTCCTGGGGATCCACGCGGGGCTCCGTGGGGGAAAGGAGTCAGGTCGCCCTGGGGTCATCTTCCCTCGGGAAAGAGGTGGGGAGTGGACAGTCTACCGGGGCTCACATCGTTCAGGAAAGGCATTGACCCTCTGGCCAGGGCGGCGAGGGAGGTATCAGACCAGAAAGGATGCGTTCTGGGCCCACAAGGCCACATCCAAGGCACCAGGGCACCTGGAGAGGGGGAATCCTTTATCTTCTCCAAGATTTTCTGACTTGAAGGCCTCACAGAGGGGAGCATTCATCACGGGGAAATACTTTGAGATTATGCCGGATTTATTTGAACAGGCTGGGAGTAATGAAATGAACATGGACTTTGAAGGCCCACCCCCCACCTGCCACTTTCTATGTGAGTGATCTTCATCAGTATTCCACTCTGTAAATTGGGGAGAGCACTGTCTACCTGCAGGGTGTTTGTACGGGGTAAACCAAACATAAAAAGTATTCCTCATTCATAGTAGGAGTCATTCAATGTAAGCTTCCTGAAGAAAAGAATTCATCTTCCCCATCTCTCTATCCCCATACATTTGCATCTTAATGCACGCCGATTGAGCGTTATGACTCAAGTATTACAGTTGACCAGATGACTAAGTATTACAGTTTACAATTCTTGCTACACAATTTAAAGAGTTATGAAAATATGTTAAATAGAAATTAGGATATATGTATAGAAAGCATCCCTCCCCCGGCCCCCAAAGTGGTTTCCACTACTATGAATGAGAACCTCTAAAACCACACACATGTTTTGCAATACCAAGTTCTTTCTAGTGTTGAGAGGACTATTTAATATATAGTCATCATTTCATGATATTAACCCTGGATTAAATGATTCCATGTAATTCTGTGTCATTTGGGCAATTGAAAGATATTGGAGATTCTGAGTGTAAAACTC